TTAAAATATGTTCGGGAAATATTTTACACTCTTGGCTCGCCCACCATCCCACAAAACTGGCCAAAATTCAAATACATAATAGCATATTATAAAATCTAAGAAGTACTACAGGAAGTTTAACTTTGTTTCTAAGCTTATTTATTCAATGAATCCTTTTAGGGAATTTATATTAGCATCCTGTACAATTGCAGCCCTTTGTGGATTTTCTGCTACGTAGCTTCCAACTCCCAGAATGCATCAGACTGTTTTGTCTGTTTTGTTATGTTGTTTTCTCACTTTTGAATTGCCAAATACTCTCCCTCATCTCTTTCCGCTTTACATAAGCACACACACAAGCACACACTGTCCAGGACAAATAGTAACTTCCCTTTCCTGCTTTTGTGCGAGCTTACAACTCTTTTATGAAGCCTACTCTGATTCCCCACCCTCCTAAACTACTTTTTCCTTTAGTGCCCTCACCGTGGCCTGGTAACGTCTTTATCAGCACATCCAATTTAGTTAATCCCAGATATGAAATCACATGTCTATTGTCCTGATTAGTTCTTCGCTTCCCAAAGGCACAGGCTGTATCATTTTATCCTTGTAGGCCCAGTTTGTACCCCTCTTCCTCACACAGAGAAGGTTGGCCTTCATCAATAGAACGGACCTGTTGGGCCTTCTGAAGTTAAGGCATAAGAAGCCTTGAAAGCATCTGCCTGGTTCTCTAGGAACTCTTGCTTGTGGGCTACTCCCTCTCAAACCCACCCAGCAGCTGTGAGAAGCCCCAGGCACAGAAAGAAGCCACTTGTAGGTATTCTGGTTGAGAACTGCAACTGAGCTCCAAGCTGACAGCCAGCACCACCGGCAGCCATGGAGTGAGCCACCCTGGACGTCCAGCCCCGTCAGGCCTTCAGATGACCACATCCCCAGCCTCCATCTGACTGCTTTCCCTGAGGGACTCCACGTGAGAACCATCCAGCGGAGACCAGTTAGCCCACAGAACAAAGAAAGGTGAAAATAAATTGTTACATTAGCCCACTAATTTGGGTGGTAATTTGTTACACAGGTATAGACACCTGAAACAGTCTCCTTATCCCACCTTAACATGTAAATTGTAAGCAAACCCGATTTAAACTTGTCCTTTCTGGGCAACCCGGCTGTTCTTAATGAAGGAACTTGGAATATGAATCACATCCCTTGTCATTCAAAAAGTCCTGTACGCTCTTACATCTGCCGGTGAATAGTAATCTCCTTTTATCCAGTCGCTAGACTCCCCACAGAAAGGCCAGACCCCTCCCTTTTCTTCGGTATGTCTCATCCTACTAGAAGAGCAGGGTGTCTTTTTAGAAACCTCATTCTGTAAATATCATCTACCCTTGAGCATTATCAAAATGTGCTCCATGAGCTGGTGCCTGGTGTGTTTAAGTTGGTGGGACACGTTATCCTTCGGTTGCAGCCCACAGAACACAACAATGTGCTTTCAATTAGCTCATTTTAAGACTCCTACGTGACACATTCTTGCTTGGGGATCACCCAAAATGCTCCAAGTATTTCCTGATCTGTAGTCATTTGTGTACCTGCCTTCCTTCCCTAAGTGTGTGAGCCCCCTGGGGGCTGGACATGTGCTATGTGTTCCTGTATTGTGCTGTTTACAGAGCTCTTCTCTACCATGACGGCTTTCAGTTTTCAGGGCCGTTTGGTTTTCAGTGATGTGATAGTTTAATCCCCAGAGGTTCGCCTTGTTTTCCTAAAGCGCAAGTAATCGGTGAGGCAGGGTGTCCTGCTCACTGCTCCCTACCCGGTACCACCCGCAACAGTCGCGAGTCTCATTGTAGGGAAAGGGGTCATTGCAGGATTTAGGATCTGAAGAATCAGCTCTGGGGCTTCCTGGATGTGTCTCTGTGCAGCTGGCATGATTCCCCTGAACCTCAATTCCCTCATCTGAAAATAGGCGAAATAGGCACCCCTAACCCTAACCCATATCCTTGGGAATATCAGGTGAGATAAAGGATATGAAAGATTTGGGACACTCACTAGATTACCTCTAAGGTACCTCTCCACTGAGGCTCTAGGACAGGGCTTCTCAGTGAGAACTGGGAGGTAGAGTTGGAAGTCAAAAGAACCTCAAACTCACTCTGACGTTCTTTACTTTTCTGCTAAATTCGGAGGGCGGGGACATATCTGATTTATTGTGAGCTCCCCTCCCACACAGTGCCCAAGTCATCTGGGAAACCCAAAAGGGATTACAGTCCTTCAGGGAAATGGGTTAAGACCCAGGACAATTGGATATATTGGAACAGAAGCTTTGGGAATAAAAGAGTAACCTCCATACAATTGATCACTTTGTCTGCATTCAACACATTTCCTGATTTATCCAATCTGTCCACCAGGGACAACCACCACCAGTTGGGGAAATCGATCATTAGGTTCAAAATACAAGATTCAGCACACGAGGGACTTCCCTGGCAGTCCAGTGGTTAAGACTTTGCCTTCTAATGCAGGGGCTGAGGGTTCAATCCCTGGTCAGGGAGCTAAGATACCACATGCCTCATGGCCAAAAAACCAAAACATAAAACAGAAGCAGGGCTTCCCTGGTGGCGCAGTGGTTGAGAATCTGCCTGCTAATGCAGGGGACACACGTTCGAGCCCTGGTCTGGGAAGATCCCACAAGCCGCGGAGCAACTAGGCCCGTGAGCCACAGTTACTGAGCCTGTGCGTCTGGCACTCTGCAACAAGAGAGGCCGCGATAGTAAGAGGCCCGTGCACCGCGAAGAAGAGTGGCCCCCGCTTGCCACAACTAGAGAAAGCCCTCGCACAGAAACGAAGACACAACACAGCAAAAATAAATTAATTAATTAATAAACTCCTACCCCCAACATCTTGAAAATAAAAAAAACAGAAGCAATTTTGTAACAAATTCAATAATGACTTTAAAAATGGTCTACATCAAAAAAAAATCTTAAAAAAAAAGATTCAACACATGAAAAATCTGTAAATAATCAGTTATTAAAGAATGATTATTACTACATCCATTAAAAATGTGTGGCTCATACTTAATAAAACTAATTCTGTTGCTTTTCTCCACTGGGCTTTGTTCTGCCTGTTGGTGACACTTGGTCAAGTTCCCACCTTCCCAGATACCAGCTCTTTAGACATTTGGAGTGACTGCTCTCTTTTGCAGCCCAAACACCTCACTCCCTTGATCTGCTCCTCATGCAGTTGTTTCCAGTCTTGCTGCTATCCTGGAGTCCCTTCTTTGGGGGTAGTTATATCTATTTCTGTCAATCTTAGAGCACATCTTCTTTAGCACCTTTTATCCAAGAAAAAAAAAAATTGTTGCATGGATGAATCCAGAGAGTCCTCTTAGAAGCCATGGCTTGCAGAGAACCATGGGATGAACATACCTGAACCTTGGTGAGATTTTCTAGGTGTTTCTACATCTCAGGAGAGACACCATATTTCATCTCTGGTTTGACCCAAAAGCCCATGTGAGAAAGTTTACTTGAAGCCAGAACCACCTTAAGCTAACAGGGCTGACACAAGCTTTACAGAGACAGACCTAGACCTCTTGCCTGGATGGTAGCAGCACTGAATGGAAGACCAGAGGGAAGGTGGACAGGGTTGGAGGAAAAGAGAAAAGAAAGAAGGGAGAGGAAAAGGAAGAAAGAGAGGGAGGAAAGAGATCCTATTTTTTTCTCAAGTGTCTTCCACATTTTGAGGCTCACAGGATGATTCTGAAGCTGGAGGTCTTTAAGTCATTCCATTATTCACTGTACAGGCTTCTACTGATTGACTCTACTGAATCAAGTATTGCACTAATCATCAAGGATACAGAGATAAAAAATTCAATTCCTGCTCTAGGATCTCAACATCGGTATAGAAAATGCACAGGCAAATAACATTATGGTAAATAAAATAGTAACCCACACACTAGTGGGCATGAAGCAATTATATGATACTGAACTGCTTCTGTTGCTTTAGACAGGGTTGAATGGTGTTATCCAAGAAGTGAGTCCCCTTTACCCTACCCCATCCTCAGACAGCCAGGGTCTCCCATAGTGGAGACAAAGGCTAGTCTAGCTTGGGGTCTGTTAGGAGACATGGCAAAGTGTGTGATACCTGCAGCCACCTCAGGCATATGGGTAATGAGTGTGGGACAACCACACATCCTGGTTTACCCAGGACAGACTTCATTTACACCTGCTTTCCCAGTGTAATTCTTGACAGTGCACACTTTTACTCTCAAATACATCCCAATCTGGATGATAAACTATATGGTCACCCTAGTGATAAAACTTCAGGAGCCAGATGCCTGGGTTAAATTCCAGCTCTCTGCTTATTAGCTACTCTCTTAGGAATCCCTTAGCTTCTGTGTCTGTCTCCGCATCTACAAAGTGAGGCCAATATAATCTGCCTCATGTGGGTTGTCGTGAGGATTCAATGAGTTAAAATATGCAAAGCCTTAGAGCAGAGCGAGCATACCTGCCCAGATGTAGAGCTCTTGCCCTCTCCTTGATTTCCATGGAACACAGAACGCCTAAGGTACACAGGCATTTCTGTGTCTGGTGGTTTTATTGAAGACCTGGGGAGTTGGGGTTAGACATCAGGGTGCAGAGATGTAGAGCCCAGTGTTCCTTGGAGTCCCTGTCCCCTCCGCTGGCCCCATGACTGTTCCAGTCTCCATTCATGGCTTCTTTCTTTCTCCGCCTCTCCGGTAATGTGATGCTAGGCTGAAGGGTCCTGCACCTGGCCAGGGAACAGTTTTCTGCTTTCAAGGGGAAGCCCTGGGTTTTTCTGTGGTCCTGGGGAGAAATATTAAGAACTTCTCCTGTGTACCTCCTCAGGAGGGGTGCTGGAAAAAATACAGGACACCCAGTGAGTTTGAATTTCAGATGAACAACAAATTCCTTTTTTTTAATTATAAATAATCCCCCCAAATGTCATGGAGCATACTTACACTAAAAAGACACTTGTTGTTTATCTCAAATTAAAATTTAGCTGGGCTTCCTATATTTTTACAGGTATACCTTGGGGAGATTGCAATTTTTGTTCCAGACCATCACAATAAAGTGAGTATCACAATAAAACGAGTCACATGAAATTTTTGAATTCCTAGTGCAACTGAAAGATATGTTTACACGATAGTGTAGTCTGTTAGGCATGCAATAGCTTTACGGCTAAAGAAACAACATATATACCTTGATTAAAAAATACTTTATGGCTAAAAAATGCTAACCATTATCTGAGCCTTCAGGAGTTGTAATCCTTTTGCTGGTGGACAGTCTTGCAATATTTCAAACCCTCCACCAGGTGCCCACACTCATAAGAATATCAATAACTTTCCAAGTGCAAGGGTCTTATTTCATTTCTTAAGCAACCACATGGCATTTTTATACTGAGAACTCTCTGCCCCTCCCCTCCACGGCCTCATGTCATCCCAATGTCTCAGCAAGGTCTTGAAATCTTGAAAGGTCAGAGCCCTCGAATCTGTGCTGATTTGGGTCACCATTTCCTTGAGATTTCCTTTGCCTCTTCTTTGATTAAAGCTGTGTTTGCCTCGCCTCCCGCTTTTTAAGCAATTACACTAATTAAGCTAATTTTTCTTTGTTCTCTCTTTGCAATTTGCATAAATGGCAAATTTATATATAGTGTCCTTAATTCTCCTTTAACTGCTCTGTAATTAACAGGATGCTCAGGCTAAATATAAATAAGTACAGAAGGAAAAACAGCCTTCTGCTGAAATACCGATAAAGGCTGGGAGAAAAGAAAAGCAGAGAGGGGAAAACAGTTCTAAGCCCTGCTCTAAACTCATTATGCCTGATTGGGTCACAGTTGGAGGAGACTAGCTAAAGGTCAGCGGCTGCAAGAGCGTCTTTCTGAGAGCCCTGCCACCTGGAGCAATTTCAGGATAGAATTCGGGCTATTTGCTTGCAGTAGTAATACTGCACTATTTTTCAAGGGAGTAGAGCAGCTTGGCATGAGGGAGACAGTGGTATGACAGTCAGTGGGGCTCAGTCTGGGGCCCTGCTCTACTTCCGACCAGTTGAGTCACCTTGGGCTAAGGAACAACAAAACCCAATACCTGGGCTTCAGGTGCTTTCCAGGCAACACGTACTATAACACTCAGTAACCCCCTAATCCCATTATTTCCCAGATATAAAAATATTCCCACGATAGAGATGTGCTTAAAATATACTCCTAAATCAGACGAAGTCTTTCTCCTACAAATGCACACTCATATACTGACACAGGGCTTATGCAGTAGTCCTTTGGGAATCAGCTTGGTGTAGTGATTAAAAAGGTGGTTCCTGGGGGCTGGTCTCAATTCTACCTCTAGCTTTAGCTCCGTGACCTTGGAAAAATTGCTCAACGTGTCCAAGTCCAAGTTCTCTTTTCTGCAGAGTGGCATACAACACACTTGTGAGGCTGTTGGCAAGATTACAGAAGCAGCATTAACGTATCAATACTTAGCACCGTGCCTGATGCCAGCAAGCCCTCAATACCGTTTAACGTTCATATTTGTCAGGTCACATGTTTCAGTTGGCATTGGTTTCAGGTGAACATCATTGGTTTCAGAAATTGGTTTCAAAAATATGGTTTCAGAAATACGGGGTCTCAAGACCTAGAAACTTGGGTGATCCACCCAAGGAACCATGGGAAGACGTGTCTAAGAACAGAACTGTCCTCTCCTCCAAATCTTGGAGCTGTGATCATAGTCATTGTAACAATATCAATGCCTCATTTGTGTGTATATTTCCTGAAAAGTCTACAGAGTCCACTCTGTGACTGGGCACACAGAGGGATGAATGAGACAGTCCTCAAGGTGGGGAGATAGACAGGTTTTAAACAGTCAATTCTGAAAGGGTGAGTGAGAGCCGTGCTGGTCTCACGTGTTGGGGAGTCAGGGTCCCTGCGGGGACCAGAAGATCCAAAGAAGGTTGTGTTCATACCATGTGTTCACACCATTTCTGTATGGGGAAATCTCTTAGGACTTCTCTTCCCCCAATTTTTTATCTGTGTTTTTTAAAATTGATGTTTTGTATACAAGTATCCCCTACTTTTCAAGAGTTCGCTTTATGCCACTTTGTTATTAAGGAAAACTCACATTAGTACCTGTCTTTGATAACCAAAAGAAATCAAAAATAGCATTCAGCATTTGCTTTGCAGTAGCCATTATAGAGGGAGTGAGCACCCAGAGAAGTGAGAGCTGCTTCCCTGGGAACCACACTCAGCATCTCAGCATGGAGCCAGCATAGCTTTGAACTGTGTCTATAAGCATCTGTGCTTTATCTTCATTTATTTTGTGCATCCATGAGCAAGGTGTGTCCTAAGGTAATTGCTTCTTTGCTTTGCACTTTGGCTTACGAAAGGTTTCAGGTAGTGGGGGATACCTGTATTGTTATATTATATATTAGAATATGCGTATAATTTGTAAATAAGTAATACATATGCAGAGGAGTGTGTGCTCAAAAGGTTTTTACTGAGATCAAAGGATACAATGGAGAATCAGCAAAGGGAAGATCAGAGAAAAGAGGGTTAAGTGAGGAAGGTTTCCTGGAAGAGAAGCTTGGAAGCTGTAAGCTCCATGAAGGTAGGGGCTGCTTCTCTCCTGTCCCTTGTTACGTCTGCAGCATATAGAAGAATGTCTGGCACACAGGGACACTCAGGATCTGCTGAATGAGTGGGCGAGGTAAGGGGGTAGGAGGGGAGAGGAGATGCCCCCTGAATTGCCCATGCTTTATGGACTGAATGCTTGTGTTCCCCCAACTTTATAAGTTGAAACCCTAACCCCCAAGGTGGTGCTATTTGGAGGTGGGACCTTAGACAGGTAATTGGGTTAGGTGAGGTCATGAGGAGGGGGCCCCCACAATGAGATTAGTGCCCTTGTAAGAAGAGAAAGAGGCAGCAGAGCTCACACTCTGTCTCTGTACACTGAGGGAAGGCCACGTGAGGACACAATGAGCAGGTGGCTGTCTGCACCCCAGGAAGAGGGTCCTCACCTGAACCCGACCATGTTGGTGGCACCCTGATCTCACAGCCTCCAGATCTGTGCTTAACTCACCCACTCTATTGTATTTTGTTATGGCAGCTGAGCTGACTAAGAAACCATGGTTACACAACCTGTAACATGGTCATGACCTGTGTGATTTCTGAAATCAGAGAAGGAAGAGACATGTCCCAGGAGGGGGAAGGTCATGGACTAAAGTGCATAGGCTGGAGACAGCCTGTGTGTCTGGGGGGCCACAGCAGCTTCCATAAAGTGGGAGGCAAGAATGAGGGTGATGACATGGACAGCTCCACTCTGACTTGGGCTAGAATCCCACCTTGGCTTTTAGCAAGAAACTTGGGCTCTCTAAAAATCATAATAATGTCTGGTTGCTCAGTAAAATGGGATTAATAGTAGTTCATGGTGTATTTATGAGAAACAAGATAATGTACGTAAAGTGCCTTCTGTGCCCAGCATGGTGTTTGGCACAAAAAAGTCTTCCAATAAACCCTTATTGGGACTTCCTTGGTTGTCCAGTGGCTAAGAATCCGCCTTCCAATGCAAGGGACATGGGTTCGATCCCTGGTTGGGGAAATAAGATCCCACATGTCACGGGGCAACTAAGCCCACATGCTGCAACTAGAGAGAAGCTTGCACGCTGCAACAAAGAGCCCACATGCCTCAAAGAAGATCCCGTGTGCCACAACTAAGACCCAATGCAGCCAAATAAATAAATAAATATTTTTTTAAAAAAAACAACTCTATTGATTGGCTGAGGCCCCTTTAATCAGACGGTCAGCAGGGCATCTTTTAGAAGACTAGAATCATGGCTGGCATCAGTTAGCAGAAATTGTTCTCCATGAGCAGATGTTTCCAAGGATCATTGAGAATCTCAGAGATACTTCCTTATTTTCTGCCTGCTAGAATTCAAAGATCCCTTGTTTCAACATTACATCACTGGGGAAGTACTCAAAGACTCAATTATAAAAAATAAAAAAAATTTTAAAAATTAAAAAATCCCAGAAGAGTTTTTTCATTTTGGTTGGGAGAAATATTTTCAATAATTTGGGGGGATGGGGGGAATCTCTTCTACTAAGTTGTTTTGTGATAAATATTTTAATGGTGTCAGGAGGGAAATGCCTTTTCTGCTGAATGTAGCTCATTACAGGCCCCTCAAAGGAAGCCTTTGTTAGCATCCCCAGTAGCTGATGAGTGCTACTTTAGCATGATGTGAGAGAAAGAATACAGATTTTGTCTGAATTCCAGGCCTATTTCAAATCCTGGTCATCCTTTGTGTGACCTTGAAAAAGTCAGTTAAACTCTTAGTTCAGTTTCTTCTTCTGTAAATGAGACTAGAAATACTTCCTGCATAGTTTTGTTGAGAAGGTAAGATAGGATAATGTATGCAAAGCTTCTACAGAGTAAGTGGTCACTAAATGTTATTTCTCTCACTGGAGTAAAAGTTTGATGGTTTAGGATCCCAGTTTAGGCAATAGTTTTCTCAAAAGGCCAGCTAATCCCAAGAGACCCCCAAGGAAATACCTCTTGATATTTGGTTCAATATCATAATCATCACTTTTCCCTGTTAAGAGATGAAGTACTCACACTGTATTAGACAGCTTTGCCGAGTGACAAACGACCCCCGAATCTCAGCTGCAGATGTTGATTTCTGGATCACGTCATGTTGGAAGTTGAGGTTTGTTTGAATGGCTGTGCATCTATCCTTGAGACTGAAGAGAAGAGCAGGGAAGTCAAATCAGATGTTGGGGGAGGTCATGGAGAGAACCTGACCACCATATGCCCTGCAAGCTGGCACAGGGCAATTGGAGGCTCCTCACCCACCCCCTGTCCTTGGAATGTATTCTCTGTCCCCTGTTCCCACGGTGGAAGCTGTTCCAAAGAGAACATGAGCTGCCTTGGGAGAATATGTGTGGTTGACATCATCTGGATGGTGTACGTGACTGAACCCCGTTAAGGCCTCTCTATGAACACTTTTTTCCTTTTTTTAAAAAAATTTATTTTTATTTTTGGCTGTGTTGGGTCTTCATTGCTGCACGTGAGCTTTCTCTAGTTGCGGTGAGAGGGGGATACTCTTCGTTGCGGTGCACGGGCGTCTCATTGCTGTGGCTTCTCTTGTTGCAGAGCATGGGCTCTAGGTGCACGGACTTCAGTAATTGTGGCTCACAGGCTCTAGAGTGCAGGTTCAGTAGTTGTGGCACACGGGCTTGGTTGCTCCATGGCATGTGGGATCTTCCCAGACCAGGGCTCGAACCCGTGTCCCCTGCATTGGCAGGTGGATTCTTAACCACTGTGCCACCAGGGAAGCCCTCTATAAACTCTTAAGATTTGGGATTTCCCAGAGTGTTCAGTGGGACGTTATTAGTGTTTCCTAAGCTGATTGGAGAGCAAGATCTCCCCTCTCCCTTCTTACCTGATCATCTGTTACTTGGAACACACTCTGGGAAACACTAATTTACAGCATGTAATTTAAGTTTTAAAAGAACCGGTGAGGTGCAGAAATCCCCCATTAACTAGGCAGAGAGCCAGCTGGTGGGGGTGGTCAGTGGTGGATTCACAGGGCCAGAAATGAACATGAGTGGTTCCTTCTGAGCACAACCCATGATGCTGGGCCTCAGAGCAGTGACAGCAGGGAAGTCAGGTGGGAAAAGACAAAGCCTGCATAGTGGAGACCAGACCCAATAACAGCAACTCTGTGTCTGGCTCAAAGAGTGTGGCCAACACATATATGTTGAATGACTAAATAAATGAATGGAGTGCAGGATCAATGGTGGGAACTAGGGTAGGATAGGTTTGGCAGAGGGAAACAATAAATGCAAGTTGGGGACCCGGAGGAGCAGAATTGAGATATGAGGGTCTCTTGGATCCTCACCTCACCTACTCCTACTCTAGCCATGGCTTCCCCAGCTTCTCACAAGTGTGACCGGGCAGCACCTCCCCTGAGGCACCTGCCACCTGTCTCTTTCCTTATGTCCTGGACTTCTCTGACCCCAGGGTGGAATCTCTGAGCACTCATGCATGTGCCACTTCTGAGATGCTTTCTACAGTCTTCCACAATGTCCCACAATTGGAGCACCAGTTGCCCTGGGTGGCCATCTTGCATCTGTGTTCAGCTCCTCTCAGCTGGAACACAGCTTTGCGTGGGCTCTCCCTCTTCGCCGCCCCTCTGTTTCTGGCCCTGTGTCCCTGCTTGCATTATATATAAGCCACTTACCCATCAGTCTTTGTCTCAGGATCTGCTTTCAAGGAATCCTGGGCTTAGACACAAGACGACCAGTGGCTGAGCTCACCGTCTGGGACAAGTCGGGGCAGGCCCTGCACAGACAAAGGCAGGAAAGCATCATAGTCAAGCACATGGCTCTGGCCTGGGACTGCCTGGGTTTATATCCCTACAGAGTTGTGGTGACTATTAAACATGTTAATGAGATCAGTGACATAGACAGAGTGCTTTGTAAGCATTTAGCTGGGTCCAGCTGGGGTAAGGGGCCAAGGGTGGGTGAGACAGTAAGATGGATATTAGCGGCTATATTTTAGCCACACAGAT